GATGGGCCATGTGAACCCTGCGCTGCCAAACTCAACTTGAAATTGCGCGGGCTTTAAACCACTACAAAATGAACATGCTTCCGAAAATACCATGCCGAATTTGACAGCATCACTGAATGCGGAGTTGAGAGGCCCCCACAGCGTTCTCCATCAGTATCTTGTCGGCGCGTACAGGGACGGTTCCTCGGTCTTCTTTTATACTGGGGAAGATTTGGTGTCTAAGGTCCATTAACCAAATTTCTAATGGCTCCTAATGCCATAGATGACTAGCAGCATGTATTTCTGTCTCAAAGTTCCGTCAGTGGCTGCCAGCTATACTTCGAGACAGTCATAGCAGCCCACGACGCTGGATGCTCCACTGTAATAGTTTACTTGGATATTCGAAAAGCCTTTGACCAGGTCATCCATGCATCCCTGCCACACAAAATTGGTACCGTTGGCATCACTGGAAGCTTATTTCGGTGGTTCGCCTCCTACTTATCAGACAGGGCGCAAATAATTGAATTCGGGGAAATACAATCATCTTCACTATCGATCACCAATGGAGTCATCCAAGGAGGCATACTAGGCCCCATCGTTTTCTTACTGTACATCGGTGACGTCTTCGGCGCCATACCCCATGGTAAGGTTTTGCTCTTCGCGGACGATATACAAACCGCGTACACGATCCCCCTTCGCACAGACTCTTGCCTTTCACCGGATTGGGCAACGCCTAGATCCACTGGCTCTTTGGTCAAACGGCTCTGGCCTAAGCCTCTCCTCTACCAAGCCCTGCATAAATTCTTGCCGCCGCTCTCTCCCAGCTGACGCCTCCACAAGTTCAATTTCATATAAAGTGTTCTTTTGGCTCTATGCATTAGCGCTATCTCCCCGTCGAGCCTATCCCCTACAATGACTTCCCCACAACAGTAGCACCAGTGAGACTACTTAGTCTCAGGTTAAACCGTCTTTTGGAGACAAAATTTGCCATTTGCTTCTACTTCGAATTATTCCATCGTCATCTTCATCTTTTCCTGTTGTGACTCCGGAACATTTACTCAGCCGCCCAAGGTCACTCATGGTTAGCAATGTTCACACTTTTAGTTTTGTCAGCCGGCTTCATCTTTGAACCGGACCTCATGCCCATTGTCCTATTTTTTCCTTGGTTCCAGCAACAGGGACGACTTTTCATGTGAAAAGCATGCTTCGTTTGTTGTACCTTCCTCCCCGTTGTGTTGTTGCCTGCCGCGTTCAGGTTGTAACTACCCGATCGCGCCTCAATCAGCATGCTCCCTACAAGTTGGGAAATGAACTTATTATTACTAATTTTCATAGGATATTGCCCACTGTTTATGGCACTGTCCTCTTTTTTGCACAAGCCCCAGTACCTGCAACTTCCCCCCCGTCGTGCTTTATTCTGCCTGTACACATATAGTAATGCCACAAATTGGAAACAAACATTATTATTATGCTGAAATGTGAGACGGCGCACTACTGAGTCCAGTAGTTCAATTAGAAGGAAGCTCCAAACTGACCGAGCATACTTATGGGTAGCTGTCGAACGCCGAGAAAAGAGCACCCTCCTCAAATTACCCAGTCGAATATTCCACGGGCGTTGTGCCCCAAATAGTCACTTAATTGCTCATCTGCGTCCCAACGAATGATGACCCATCTGAACGCTTAGCCCGCCAGCTGCTACTTGTCCCTTCCTACAAAATTCGAGCCCATTCCGTCTGCCGCACATATCACAAATAAAAACTTCCAGTATATCCACCAGTCCCTTAGCAACGTGAACTTCTCCCTAGCTGATATTTCTGCACCACTTTTAAAATTTAAGGAGTTGGTTTCGCCCGAAGCCGATGGCCTTTTACACCGAATTATGAGAACAGCGGTCGAAATATCGGCGTCCCCGTCCCAGATCTTTTTAACCACTGGATACACTATATACTCGTCTCTTTCCAGTGCGTGCAATCTGCATTCCGCCCGCATTTCGGTTCCGAATCACGACAAGCTATTTTCAACTAAGGGGGTCCACCATACCTCCCCTTTATTGAGAACCCTTGAACGCCTGATCAAAGGCCCAATAACCAAGTTCCTCACAGTTACGAATGCCATAGATGACCGACAGTACCTCTTAATTTGGCTTAAGTATTTTGTCAGTAACGTGAATAATCGTCCTTGCGAGGTACCACTGCTTGTAGGAATGCTTTTGGAGGGCTCCTGATACGCCCTCACACTGCCAGAAGTGTATGATATAAACGGCGCGTGATTTTTAGGAACGTCCGGAGTTTACTATTTAGCGCAAGTCTGTTGAGGTAATCGGGCAGGTCGACCGAATCGGTTTCTCGTGAAGTCATCATCATCGATAGCATGACATCAGTGTTCAACACCGATGTCTCACTGCCGTGTCGTGAAATCAAGGAATGTGAAGTCACACAGCCCTTCCCTGATTGGAATCTTGCTCGCTAGTTTCTCCTGCTCAGGCACCTTCGTATGACGACGTGCAGAGTCTCGTTACAAATGGGTTCAAGCTTATTCCACTATGACTTCCGCTGTGAGCACCTGTTTTGAAAATGGGCGCCTCTGTCGACTCGACCCATTTAGTTGGGACGGTCTCTTTCTGTCAGACAAAGTCAGTTAAGTCAGACAACCGTTTTCTGAGAATTTCACTTCCATTTTTGAACAAAGTGGTTGGGGCTCGTCCGAACCAGCAACCTGGGAACGCCTGAGGGACAGAAGGCATTCGTTTATTTCCAAAACCATCTGGGGTTCCAAGTTTACGGGTCAGGGCTGCGTTATCGGTTTGGAATTCGGTTGCGAAACTACAGGCGGCCAGTTGCATTGGTCTTGAAAACGCTTAACCCGACGGTTCAGGCGCTCTATTTTTAATACATAAGTCAGCCTTTTGATGAATGATTGGGGTCACTTGTTCTCAGTCCTCATTTAACTCCACCCCCTAACCATTGGTTAGAACACGAATTTACCGGCCGAAAGGTCTGTGTTTTGAACCCGACCTCTGCCTCTCGACTTCCCCCGTCTAGGCTTGGGCAACCTGGCAGTATCCCAGCCCTCATGCGTCCTTCGAGTGGCATGGCAGTTAGGCACCACCACCACCATCATCATCGACAGTATGACGTCAGTGTTCAACACCGATGCTTCACTGCCCTACCAGTTAGGCACCGAAAGGGTGCTACAGCTGAACGATGAACCACTAACCGCGATCGTCACCATACCATCGTGCTGGCACTGTTATTATTTCGAGCGCAATCATTAACCTAGAACGGCCTTCCACAACCTAACAATATCGAACTGAAATATCTCAAAAGATTTTGGAAACTATACTGCCAATTGGTATTGACGTTCACTTGGAAAATTGCGGTGCCTGATTGGGGTGATGTACGCAGCTTTTGAAATTGCTTGACCGAACTCGCCGGCATGGCCTTGTGGGCTTTCGATATCGTCGCCTGCAGCTCCCATCGATGCCAAGGGAGCATGATAGGAAAAGATGATGAACCACCCAAACACACAATCTCACAAAGGCGCTGGTAGATAACTAAATCTCGGGACGTGGATTAGGCCCCCGGAACAGATGCTTAACCTATTTCGATTGCTAAGCTGATCAGCTTGTCAAAAGTGACTTGTTTATGTAAAGAGATGAATCTTCCGGACGATAATTCACTTTGCCTGATATGGCACAGAATCATCCTCGTTAACCGCAACACACCAGTAGTACACACTGGCGTTAAGCTCATATGAAACAGTAGTTTTCAATCATGGACCAATACGATCTGATGTGATAAGGCACTAAGCCCTGTCAGCGTACATCGTGCACCCTGCAAGGAGATTAATGAAGCATATCTAACCGCCTCTACAAGCCTACTATAAACCATGTGAAGCCAACACAGGATGCCAGTTGAGTGGAATAGTAGATACGAAGGTGCTTCTAAATTATCTTACATGATATCCCTCATCAACAGAAGCAACACCATTGAGAGAACACGAAGTTGAACTGCCGCGCAACCGTATCATCATCCTCCATAGCTTCGATCGTCACCATACCATCGTGCTGGCACTGTTATTATTTCGAGCGCAATCATTAACCTAGAACGGCCTTCCACAACCTAACAATATCGAACTGAAATATCTCAAAAGATTTTGGAAACTATACTGCCAATTGGTATTGACGTTCACTTGGAAAATTGCGGTGCCTGATTGGGGTGATGTACGCAGCTTTTGAAATTGCTTGACCGAACTCGCCGGCATGGCCTTGTGGGCTTTCGATATCGTCGCCTGCAGCTCCCATCGATGCCAAGGGAGCATGATAGGAAAAGATGATGAACCACCCAAACACACAATCTCACAAAGGCGCTGGTAGATAACTAAATCTCGGGACGTGGATTAGGCCCCCGGAACAGATGCTTAACCTATTTCGATTGCTAAGCTGATCAGCTTGTCAAAAGTGACTTGTTTATGTAAAGAGATGAATCTTCCGGACGATAATTCACTTTGCCTGATATGGCACAGAATCATCCTCGTTAACCGCAACACACCAGTAGTACACACTGGCGTTAAGCTCATATGAAACAGTAGTTTTCAATCATGGACCAATACGATCTGATGTGATAAGGCACTAAGCCCTGTCAGCGTACATCGTGCACCCTGCAAGGAGATTAATGAAGCATATCTAACCGCCTCTACAAGCCTACTATAAACCATGTGAAGCCAACACAGGATGCCAGTTGAGTGGAATAGTAGATACGAAGGTGCTTCTAAATTATCTTACATGATATCCCTCATCAACAGAAGCAACACCATTGAGAGAACACGAAGTTGAACTGCCGCGCAACCGTATCATCATCCTCCATAGCTTCGTGGATTGCCGAGGAAGTCAGATCCATGGGAATAAAGCTTTGTCTCTTCATAATCGATGATGCGTTTATGAGCTCTTCTATTTGTGGCAGGTGTCTCACTGCAGATGCAGCTAATAACGACCCCAAATGGTTGCCTTTGCTCTCGTAGCCATGACAGTATTTTTTTCAAAGACATCCCATCTAAATTTTCGTTCTCCCCAGAAGCCACCTCGTGGATGCACGCACATTTACCTGAAGTTCACGACCGACTTCGTCACACCCCATGGTGACAGACAGCTATCCGAAGCATGGCAACAAAGAATTCTTCCATTACGCCTTCTTGTCTAGCTCAGCGTTCTGCCTAGTTCATGGGCAATTGTGATGAGTTTCCCGATTGTTTTTAAGAAAAGGGTCTTTGATCCTCAAGACTTTGAATTTTACCAAGGTTCGAATTGGAGACACTATTCATATTGCATTCCGAATAAAACTCATGCTATTCTCCGCCAGATATGTTGCTACTCTCTAGTTAGCTATTCGCAGCAATTTATCATCTATATATACGCCCTCTTGGAACGGCGATCTGGTCTTCACTACCAATGTTATTGTTTTCTTTTGTGTATAGCATCATTCCAAAGAGTGAACCTGGATTTAACTGGGTGAAAATCATCTGCATGAAACCCAAAAGTAAGCCATACGTCCAACTCTATTCGACTTCTTTGTTCAAGAGCTTATAGAACAGCGCAACCGCACCAAAAACTGTAAAGAAAGGGCCAACTTGACTTTGGAAATCGCCTTTCATTACACGGAAGATGGTTGGTGTGGCTCATATTTGTTGACACACTTTTCCCTCTTTCAGGAGATCATGAAAGTGCCCTGGAGGAATATCTCAACCTATTGAAAATCTGGCAGTCAAAGGAGGACAAAAACCAATGTGCTCTTGCAAACAGGTTTATAGCCGACTGCTGTATCGAGTTGGGTGATTTTGACAAGGCAATTAGACACACCCATGACTATTTGGCGCTCGCGGTTGAGACAAACAACAAACTCGAGCAACAACGAGCTTTTGTCACCCTTGGACGGTGTTTCCTCAACCGGGCTGAGTCTCAAAAAGATGGGCACAGCATTATGAAAAGCCTAAACTCAGCTTCCCAAGCACTTTTGAGTAGCATCAAGTTGATAGGCGACCTAGCCACAACGCTTACTCCAACACAGTTGGGCGAAATGCGAGCTGTATCCTTACTTAATCTTGGTAAGCGGTCTGTTTAACTAAACTTGTTTTCTTTCAGGTCAGGTGTTGCGTGCCCAGCTTGACTATGCTTCGGCCAGCGAGCGCTTTAACCAATGTATTTCACTAGCTAGAAAGTACCAGCTTCCTAAGGTGCTGTTTCGAGCCTGCTATCAGTTAAGCGATTTGGCGATAAACACTCCACACCAGACGATTTCGAAGCCGCTCTCTCGTTCTGCCTTGTTTCAGCAATGTCGCACACCATTTCGTAGTGTTCTTGAAACTCTCAGGTACGTGTATTTACGCGTGTATTTTTACGTTGTTAATGAACAACTTCAGTTCCGCATTACGATCCACGCTTTCCAAGTCCTCTGCAGACAGTGAGGCTAAGGATTTGCTGAAAAGCCTGAAAGAATCCTACGCCTGTGTATGTTTGACCGATACTCACCTCATTCCTACTCATTTAGTTACACCTGACAATGGGAGAGTTTCGAAAGACCGCAAAAGTTTATCGGCTGCTCAAACTTGACTCTCCGTGCTCCTCCGATGTTTGTCGAGACCTAATTCGCAAATGTATGCTTGCCTTTAGTTTAGTTGTCTATCAAATCTTTTGCTAGGTATGCTCATGTCCAACCAGTTTCAGTTGCTTCCAGAAACAATTCCAACTTCTTTCGAGGGACACAGTTTGGTGGCTCGCACTCATGAACGAATTGGTGACTTATACTCTGGTATTGAGTTGTACGGTCCAGCCTTGAGACATTACCAACTCATGGTAAGCGATTTCTGTCCTAATTGAGACTTGGTGACGGTGGAGTGTCTTCCATTTTTTTTAGTTTGAGTGGTAACGCATATGTTTTGAGTTCATAATTCATGGATTTAACTTAGGCGCTTTCACTCCTGATCTGGTGGGTCTGGGTACAGTTGCAAGTCTTTGATTCTCGGCCTCGGAGTTTCAGTTTCGACAAATCATTCCTGGCGTTACCGTGCTTGCCGGAATTGGTGACCTTTATCGTCCTGTAGCTTACTGAGGCATAGTTCTGTCAGACGATATCATTAATAATATCGAATGAGCTATCACTTGGGGTTGGCATCATGCATTCTATTCACCTGTAGGTCAGAAAAGGTGTATGAAAACTTCAAGCCATACGATCACGTCCTTGTTTTCCAAGCTTATTTAGTGGCCTTTTAGTGTGACCATCATTAAGACGCTGCTGCTGGTCTCCATTTCTTGCCGTCCTATTTGATTAACCCCATTTTCATGTGTTTTGGCTACCTCTCGCTACTTTCCGCGGTTATGAGTAACGTTCACTTCACTTCACCCCACATCCACTTTTCAGCTAGTTCATGCACAAGTTGCCAGCCAGATACTCGGTGTATCCGTCTCCGCCACCGTCATCGAGAAGACCAATAAGTTGGTTGACGCCGCACTGGTTTCTGTGGCAGAAACATACCGGAACCTCGGATCCTATGGACATTGTGTCCGGACATATCAGCAAGAGATCCAATGGGTTACTACGACTGGCCTATCGACGGCGGAGTTGGCTACCAGTTGGTTTAGTCTAGCACAGGCACAGCGTCTCTGTTTTAATTCGTCCTCAGAATCTCATACAGTATTCATTCCTGGTTCGGAAACCACTTTGGAGACACTTCAATCGGCTCTGAATGCCTCCAAGTCAATTGGTTCAATAAAGTTGGCTGTAAGTGGCAACGTTTTCATGCTTTCTCACAGTCATCAGTTATAAGTTATCTGTTGGGGTTCATCGTCGCTGAATCCTCTTGGTTTTATTCAAGGGGTATACGAGCAAACGCTTGTAGGCATCGCTTTATTTTTATGAACCTGGTACCAGGTTTAGTTGGTTGGTCACCGATTCGTATTGTCAAAATGGTGAGAGTAGTGTGAGCGTGCCTGTATCGTGTCAGGTGATCGCCGTTCAAGTCCTAATACAACTGAGGAAATCCACTGCTCAGGAGCGTCGACTGGAGGGAATTTCGAATCCAATCTTCTCACTTGGTGTGAACCAACTAATCGTCCCAGTACGAACAGGAGTAGTACTGTTTAGGCTAGGTTATTGTAGACTTAGTTGACGCAGCTGACTACCAGCGTACAGGTCTTCCCAGTTGATCTCTCTTACTTACAGACCTGTAGCGATGTTGAACATATCCCAGCATTCTCTGCGAAAAGAATAGGAAAGATGCTGAAAATATCCACAAACTACTGGATTTTCCCCGGCTGAATACAACTGACTGAATGAACGTGAGGATCACGATTCAGTTGTGGGTTTTCCAAAAAGACAACAGTCCCTTTATTTTGAGGGTGTTTATTGTTTGAAAATATTTACGTGACTTGAGACGTTTTTGAGTGATATATGGAACCCCTCTTTACACTTCAAGAGTGTTTAATCTCTGAATTTTCATGGGAAAATATCCACCAATATCGTGCCCACTTTGAGGAGGGGTGACTGCTCGTAAGAGTAGATTGTTGTACTGCGACAAAGGATGCTTATTGGAAAAATAGTTTTTAGCCCATTATAATCCCCCATTCCGTAATGCCAATGCCAAGAAACTACCACATATCGTACCAAGACTGCCACTTCTATCACGATGACCAGCCAATCGGATGATTCTCAAGCGATCCTACACTTCTCTCTCCTCTACTCATGTAGATTGAGATTTTGACAGAAATGGAAGATTATTTGTCTTGCAACGGACAACAGTCAAATGATTTGGCTCGCATTCGACAGGAATTGTCAAGGCTAAGACGAGATGCCAAAGTAGATACAGAAGAGGATCATGAAAATACTATCAGAGAGACCGAAGGCGAGGATCTAGGAGATGCCACTATTGATGATGACACTGTAACAAAGTACATTGATTTGCTGTCATCCGATTCCGGTGAGTTCTATTTTGTAGAGCTCGCGTCGATAAACTCGAGGTCTTCCATTTACTTTTCTGTTAGATTTGGTGTGTACGTTCTCACAGCGTCTGTGCCAGTGGATAGAGAAAGATAGTCGGGGTAACACGATTTCCAGCCGTCTTGCTACACCAACTAGCAAGATTATAGTGATCCTGCAAGAGGGCCATCCTAGGGGACTCTCCTTCCCAATGGGGTTTGTAGCAGTGCAGTGAATCAGTTGAATGCGCAACTCATATATGGGTGCCACTCCTGGATGTCGTTCTTGGGAATGGTCTACCATATATTTGGGAAATTCTGGGTTTAGACATCTCGTTTGCCAACTTCTATGCGTTCTGTGACCTTGACCTTACTTCCCATCAATCATTAATCCCGGTAGAAAACATTACCACCGAATCTGATCCTGTAAGGCATTCAGAGTGATCACAGATCTTGAAAGCAAAAGTTTACTTGATAAAATCACCTGATTTGAACCGCTAAAACCGGAAGTTCGTAGGTAGTTTTATGGCGCTTATATTTCCCCATGCTTGTCGTATCAAACAGACGGTCCCGTATGGTACAGTATCACCAAAATCACCACCGATTCTGCTTAGTGGATGGACTCTTATTTACCCCCATCTAGCCTTGACACGTGACTGCGTGTACCGTACATTTTCTTGATTGACCGCTAACTCGGGATGGGGGGAGAGGTCATGTAGGTGTTTCTGGTGTATCTTGGGTGTTTGTGAATGGGCGTTCTCTTTCGCAGCTAAGTCGAAACTCCAGTAATTTCTGGAACATTTCCATTGCTTGACTGCTTATCTGAGGTTGGTCGCTGTTCTCATTCATTTGTGGAATGCTGTGGACCGATTGGGAGGTCGTGATTTCAGAAAAGATTCGAAAGCAATCGTTCATCTGTACCACCCTTTAGGTGTCTGGCTGCCATACCGATCTAAGGAAACGCGAGGGCTGGGATACTGTCAGGTTGCCCAAGCCAGGGGACGAGATGCCTAGGGGAAGTCGAAATGCATAGGCCGGGTAAATTCAGTAAATTCGCGCTCTAACCACTGAGGCACCTCGCCCCCTCTCAGAAAGCATTAGTGAACTACCGATAAAAATTGGTATTCGAGTAGAACATAGTGCTGACAGAAGCCCTGGGACTACGCCTGCCTCAGTATCCACAAGAATGGCGAAATTGGCACTGGGCCGTCGAAGGGTTATCAGCACGAAAATTGGTGGATTGATTGCTTGGTAATATTTCGTTTTTGACGCAGGCCTTATCAGGACAAGTGAGTGAGCCATCAGGTTGCTCGAGTTTTAATACAGGCAGAGAAACAGTCTCTTTCAACCAGTTGACTTAGTCGGCGTCGAATGTCGGTTGGTACATTTGGCTAATTCTTACGCCCTCTGGAGTGGGAGAGGGTTAGCATCACCTTGGTTTAGGGTACTGCAGTTTGTTAATCCCTTGTAGCTTCGGTTCACAGTTTTTGTTGATCTAAATGGGTTAGTGTTACGAAAAGTTGACTAATGGGTCTGCTTTATGAAATTCGGATCTAATACTGATTCTGTTGATTGCTTGTCTTCACTGATCACTGCGCGCCACATGTCAACTCGGATGATCTAGAACTACCCTTCACATGCTTATCAGTTCCACCCCCATTCTGCTCACACAAGGATATCTTGTGATTTTTGCGGTCTCAGCCACCAGTCATTGTGGTGTGAGTCGTACACACCGCCTCAAAACTTCAACATCTAATTTTACTTTGTGTTTCGTGCGTGGTGCATGTTCAGTTGTTGACTGGCGCTTGATATCCACCTATGGTCTGTTTATTCTTTCTTGTCTACCGATTCTACCGTGAAGGTTTCTGGCCGTCTGTTCTGTTTAGTATTCGTATTGGATTTTGTAAATGCAACCACTGGTTCCATCTAATTAAACTGCACTGGTAATACTGACGAAGACTACCTTAAGATTGGTCGACGATTAGTTCAGGATTGCACTAGTGTCAGTTGGCTTCGAAAAGATTGTGGTTCATCTGCTGTCCACGTCCTTAGGTGTTGTTCGTAGTAAATGGGAGCATATATTTCATGCGGTCTAACAGATACGTGATCAGTGAATCGTGAATGAAGAGTGTAGCTCGAGTACAATGGACTAGCTGTCTTCTCAATCGACATTTGTTCCATCCATATGTGTTCCCTTTTATTGCCATTCCAGAGGTTGAAGCATGCATAGGACATTCGGAGTTGTTGGACGAGTTCAACGCGGGCAAGGGTGGTCCACGTAAGGGGAAGGCCCTGTGTCTTAAAGTGAGTAGACATTTAACCGCTTTATTCATCACTGTACAGCGTATCGTTTCGTCTTACATCTGTGGCAAGCTTTGCCATAAAGTTTCTTGTGGGATGAAAAGTGCTTTTTTGGGGACTGGAGCCGGTGATCTCATTCACATATTGTGTTTTAGTAACGAAGTTCAAGCTCTGAAAACGTTAGTTACGGGGCTCGATATCGTCCCCAGATTTTAATTGCTTTACAATAAATTATCAGCGGCGTTTATCTTTGACTACAATGCGCTCTGCTCAACCAGACTGCTGTCATAGAAGATACCGAATTTCTAGGCTTTAACAGCGTAGCTCAATTCATGGTGCTTTTATAACAATGGGATAATGGACAATCGGAAATGAAAAGAACAATATTGGGAAACCAGCTAGCTTCTTGATAGTTTAGTCTAGCTACTGTCGCCATTAGTTTGTGAGGGGCGGAAACACATTTGAGCAACGACTGAAAGACGTCGGAAGACGAGGATGCAACCGAAAAAATGATGGAACTTTATATGAGATGACAGAATAGCGAGTGTCGACTGTACTTCGTTTTTTTGGTGGGCGCACATGACGCGTTTATTTCTCATCCAATGTATTTAGACAGACTTAACGGAACCTTTCAATCGACGTTCACACCACTGACCAGTACAGCCATCAACAATCCAACTGCTTTTGAGCAAGTGCGTTATGTATCCTCGTTCATATTTACTCTATCATATGGTTTTAGAGTTTATTGGTTGTCTTTCAAACGTCCAGTTCATTGAGCTGAGCCTGCTTTACCCCCCCCCCCAATTCGCTCAGACTAACATGAAGGGAGAGACACCTCTGCATGTGGCAGCCATCAACGGCGACATGGAACACGTGATCAAACTGATCGAAGTACTGGTAAGTGGTGTAGTCAGTACTTTTTAATTTCTGTGTGAGGGAATCAGGCTGCATAGATATTTTGAGGTCAACTCTACTTTCAACCATTGGGCCTCCCCAATCCATTCATTGTCAGTGTTCGTCCAATTTGCAACAATGTGTTGTTCAAATTGTCGAAAAGTTTATTCACTGGGACTTCCTTGTAGCATGTAAACCGACCTATCTAAAGAAGCTTAGCTGTCCGTCATTTCTGGACAAAGAAGTAGTTGTGGATGAAGGGAGAGACACCTCTGCATGTGGCAGCCATCAACGGCGACATGGAACACGTGATCAAACTGATCGAAGTACTGGTAAGTGGTGTAGTCAGTACTTTTTAATTTCTGTGTGAGGGAATCAGGCTGCATAGATATTTTGAGGTCAACTCTACTTTCAACCATTGGGCCTCCCCAATCCATTCATTGTCAGTGTTCGTCCAATTTGCAACAATGTGTTGTTCAAATTGTCGAAAAGTTTATTCACTGGGACTTCCTTGTAGCATGTAAACCGACCTATCTAAAGAAGCTTAGCTGTCCGTCATTTCTGGACAAAGAAGTAGTTGTGGGATTCGTCAAGTCCGTATCCACATCACTGTTTTCCGTGGCTTTATTTCGGTTAGTCCAGACCAGGGCGGGGAAGCACGGATTTCAAGTTTCATCCATTTTGAACTCATCAACTATGCACCATTTTGGTCGTGTCGGGATTTGAACCATATATGTCTAGCTTACTAGGCGAGCACCTTATCGCTACTCTAAACGCGCGCGCCAAAAGCACGCGAATTACTAAAGAGAGAAAATGAGAAGTTAGGGTTAACTCGCACCGCAGACCTCGAGCGGGCTGTTTGAGGGTTTTAGATTTTTTGGAGATCCGGAGTGTTTTCCAGGCTAACAGGGATGGAAGACATTGGTTGCTGCTGTCTTGCATCAATATTCCCACAGCTTTGCTCAATACAATTTGATAGTCTCACCGGGGCGGTGCTACTGATCGCAGTTTTGCGCAGCAACATGTGATACCGTGTTTTGCACGATGCACTCGGTTCCTGAAAGCTGTCCTTTTTGAAAAGTTAACAGAGTCACCATTCAGCTAACAGTTTAGGGCTGTTGCTTTCCGGACCACGCGCCCACCGACTTCGTTGCACGGCTAGTAAATTTGATTTTAGGCTTGCTTCATGTTTTAGCCAGTTGTTGATAGATTACGACAACCATCCGGCGAATAGTCTGTTCCATCCGAGTACTCGTCGCTTCTTACGAAGGACACAATTATGATCAAACCATGGGATTGGAATTCAAACCACATCGGTCCTTGAATAACCTCAAGAGGAAACAAAGACCTTACGGAAACAAAGACCTTCGGTTTTGGCCACATCTTATAATTGTCTTTGTTTAGATTTCCAGCTTGGAAACAGTCAACTCGTTTGCGTGGATTCATGAGGATAAAACAGTCTGATCACTCAGCAGTAGTTAGGTTAGGTAAATCAGCCGCTGATTGGAACAAGAAACTCATCCAAATGTATTCAACTTGTTTTGTCAGCCAATGTCTGTCACTCAAGGATCTGTAACAGTACTCCTAAATGCTGTTTCCTTCATTTCCGTCCCTGCCCTTGCTACACAGGGTCATCCAGTAAATGTGACAGATGGTGCCGGATGGTTACCAATTCACGAGGCGGCCTTCCATGACCGTACTGAAGCGGCTATCTATCTGCTGGATAGAGGGGCGCGACTAGATGACCCTGGTTGTCTTGAAGACCTATCGACCCCTCTCTTCGAAGCGATCCATAACGGCTCTCTGGCCACAGCTATCGTCCTTGTGCAACGTGGGGCCAACTTGTGGCATCGGTTAGTATTCATTTATCTATGTCAGAATTGCATAACTCCCTGTATATACGGTGTGGGAATGGACCTAACCGGTTGTCAACTTATTTTGATGGTGGATGGTCGGACACTTTGTCGTATACATGTGTGTGGAGAGCAAGACAGAATTCGCCTGGACGGGAATACCCAGCAATACATTATGACAAGCATGTGCGGTTTAGGAGGGGGAAATATTTCGAGCAAACGGCTAACCAGGAAGTCCTCCTCTAGAGTTGATTTCGATATTGTTTTCCTGTCAACAATGACCCGAATAGAGTCGTTACCATTTCTGCAAGCTGTAGTTGGAATTGTCACGTATTAAGGCGTAATTGATTTGCCTTTGTGTCATTAAGTCATCCAGTAGCATTTCCCAGAGGACCCCAAATTAGACCCCAAATTAGGTAACCAGTTCCCTAGGAGACTTTGTATGAGCTTTTCTCATCTTTAATCTTGGATTTCATGGTGTTCCAATGTGTCTTTAACCGCTCTGATAGTGTTGCTCCTCTCGTGACGACTTGGAGTACTGCTGTGATCAGTCAGTTTCCCTTAGATCCGTAGGTTCATAGATCTCACTTCGTAGTTGTCCATTCGGCAGCCTAATGATAAGGACGTCTCATACTCGGATGAACGTTACCGAAGAAGTTTCTTAGTAGGTGATTTATTCTCCTTGCATCCTACTCTTTTCAATGAGAACGAAAGTAACATCCACATGGTGAATAATTTTCTTTTCTGGATCACATCGTATTTTTTCAATTGGCATCCTTGTACATACTTCGCAAAAACCTCCTCTGGCGATACGGAGTTGATCATCTTATGAGGAGAGGGTTTTCGTTCAACCCTAACACCAATTAATGTGAGTCATTACGCCATTGTATGTCCTTTCTATTTCATGGGATTCAGTTTTGACAACCTGTAAGACATAAGATCAGTTGCCCCTTGTGGACTGTGCTCCCAGGTGAAATTATCTTGAGAAAGACCGAGCTGTTATGTAAACGTTAGTGAGACGGAACAACAGTTACTAAACCCGTACATGTCAAACAACAAGAAAGGCAACAGCCTTTCTTGGTGTCCACATAACTGAATCTAATCGAGCAGGATAGGTTTCACTCCACTAACAGGTTGGCTTGACCATAAAAAGAACGTTTCAACTCGTGTGAGGATCTCATTATTCCTTCTCGTTGAAACACCCCCTTCAGGAATTACTTTCCATGCCTTTGACTATCCCAGTAGAGCACTTCTGCTCTCTTATTCAATGAGACACACTATCTTTTCGTTTCCTTCTATCCTAGCAACAAACGTGGCGAGTGTCTTCCGGAGTTACTGGATATGTGGGAACCGTCACGACGTTGCGCTGGAACGTTCAATGAACAACGAGAACGGTTCGACAAACTTCTGGCTGCCATACAGGAACGTCTCGGATGTAGGTTTTGGAGCACAGACACAAGTTTATTGTGGTTCACACCGGTTATGTTTGTACACATTTCTTCCCGCTTTAGATTTGAGTTCAGTCAGTTGATCAGCACTGAAAAGCCAAAATGTACGTCACAGCTAGTTCATCCCAGTGATATCCATCAACCGCGTAATTTCAGCCTCCGCTGATTTTCAACGTGGGTGTATCAAATGCTGTGCGATGGTTGCGCCATATTTTCCCTTTATGGAAAATTTCAAAGACTCTTCACTACTTCTGAATTGCCAGTAGCGCCTCAGGAACACTCGAAAAATGGTTCATTATTACAGCATTGAGGTAGATAGTTGACCCATTGAGGGCGTGCGTGATCACAAAAAACATGAGTAAACGTTTATCGTACTATTGAGCAGTGATTTATAGCTCGTAGCATGGGGCTCGTGAGATGGAACGATTTTACACGGCTGGGCACAAAAAAGTGTCAAGCGTGTGAAGACCCGACTTCCGTTTATCTCCTCCATACACAAATTAAGTCCTGCACCCCCACGCCTTATGTGATCATGTCAAGAATGAGAATTGCTGTTCAACCAAGTTAGGATGTTCTTCGTCGGGTGCTAGAAGTTGGCGTGTACCGCTGGGCCACTTTGGCCTCTACTTATCTCTCGTAGTCATTGTACGCTGGGTGTTGATTCCTCACTCAACAGTGACCAGCGGTTATTTTCTTTTGTTTCTGACTCTTCATGAGCAGCGTGCTTTACGCCCGCTCATTACAACGCCATTTTATTCCCTTGCTGCTCGTTTCCCCTGTTTCGCTCCTGCCTAAGGTCTGCTTATTCCCTAGTAACTGATGTCAATATTTCGTTGCCCATCTGTCTTTGCTTACAAGTTCTCGTCAGATCCACTTATTTTGAAGCACCCGCTCTGACCAAGGAAAGGGACCGACTGTGGATCGAACTCAGAGCGTTATCCGCCACACCAACTCGACACCTCAGGAGACCCTATTTTTACTACCTATATACGGTATCTGCCGGACAGCTTTTGTTGAGATTTGTTTCAAACGGACCTAAGCGCGCAATCCGATTTGTCACGTGGCACGGGCTGCCGCACCGCGCCGTCAGCAAAAGACGGTCCCTTACCTCCCGAGTGTACTGATTGTTTTCTGCGCCATTATCTCCATACGACCAGTCTACACTGACAGACGTTTGTGCATCATTTGGTGCTTACTTGCTGTTGCTTGCAGGAAGCCTTGTTGCCTCACTGACCATTTTTCTGCTCTTGCAGATTGGGCCATTACTAATTGCACGTTTTGATTCACGATGTATATTAACCCGTTTGTCTATAGAACCAGCTTCTAACAGTTCTCAATACATCATCTACTACCCCAGTCCGTCTGTTCCTAATGCCTACTGGATACGAACTGAGTATAATCTGATAGCCGCAATCGTCCTGTGAGATCCTTAGTTTCCCGGATCTTACGGTGGGTGTTTTGGAGACGGATACCTCCGTTTTCTGTTGTCGGTGACAGAATCTATCATTTTATTTCCGGGTTGGGTGGCGGAGTTGGTGTGTCGTAGATCGTTAGTAGTGTTGCGCTTATAGGAGAATGTGCCGTTATCCCTCAGTTACTTTTGGTGTTATTGCATCAGGCATACACATGCATTTGGCATAAAAACCACTCCATGCATGTGTTGACTTAGTTAAACGCATGACAAACTGACACGTTTGTGGTTACTAGGCAGCAGCTTGGGGGCGAGATGGCCCAAGTGGTTAGAGCGCGAATTTATTTACCGGAAGGTCCGTGGGTCGAATCCGACCTCCGCCACTCGACTTCCCCTGTCTAGGCTTGGGCAACCTGGCAGTATCCCAGCCCTCGTGCTTCCTTCGGGTGGCATAGCAGCTAGGCACCGGAAGGGGACTACAGCTGAACGCTTTTTTTCCTTTTTTCTTTCTTTCTTTAGGCAACAGCTACCGCTACATGGTACGAACGAAGCTGTCGGCTTGTACTGGCTCTATACAAGCATGACTGTTTCCAGCTTTTCAATCTTTTTGGCGGCACCCTCTGTACTCTGGGATTTTCACCCAATGAAGTTAGATAAATAAATATATAAATCCTTCAACTGTAAGACTCCTTTGGCCCCTAGCTTATATGTCACCCGAAAGAAGCACTAGAGTTGGGATACTGCCAGGTTGCCCAAGCCTAAACAGAGGAAGTCGAGATGCAGAGGTTGGGTTTGAACCACAGACCTTTCGGTCAGTAAGTTTGCGCTCTAACCACTGAGCGATTTCGAACGTCTTCAGTACCACATTCATACCCTTATTACTTTCTTATTGTTTTGTTATCAGCGGACTACGATCGATGGTGCAACCAGCCACGTTCCTGTCCCCCCATGGTTGCTGCTTCATCGGCTTCTACGGAGTCTTCACCAGAGACTGTTCATATGATATCCTCACCAAAAAGACGTTCCACCCCAAAGAAGAGTCGCTACACAAAGTCTGGTTCCCCCTCCTTGTCAGATATCTCACCGCCACTGCTTACGCGGAAACCAAAAAGCCTGCGAGTACAAGCTTGTGACGAACTGCTGGTTGATTTGGACGATGATACGGTGCAAACTGGCCGGAGGAAACAACCCCACTCGGGCGCCAAAACTGGACCAGTAGAAACGTATAAACAAGCCATGCAAGCTGTCGCTGGTTCAGCCTCGCGGTGCGTCTTTTCCTTTCTCGTGAATACTATTGGTTGTATTTAAACTACGAAAAATCTATAATGTATTGTTTCACAACTTCTCCCTACTGATCGGGCATGACCGAGCGTGCACCGTTTTCGGAGCTCAAGTTTAGAGGTAGCCCGGAAGCGGATTCTGACCGCTCCATCTCTGACTTGCACGTATTTTACCGGCAGTATGCACATCTCTAGCACCTGTGACTAACTACAGTATGCTTGTGATCTGGCGATCACACAAGGTTCCATAATTTCATTTGAGGTTTCAGCCTTACAAATGAAGTCAGTGTAATCTAAAAACCTGCGGAGCACTGTAAGCTGTTTCCGTCCGGTGAGCGCATTGCAAATCTCCGGGTAGATTCGATTGATCATGGAGTTTGAATTTCCTTGTTGCCTGTCACCAAACGTACTTGGTGGTATCACTTCCCTTTTCGCATTATTTTGCAGCGCGAATAAACGCAAATCCGCCCCTGGGCATAGCAGATCGACCACAAGTCAAACCTGCCGACTTACGGCTGCGATTGACATGGATGATACGGATTGGCTTGTGCAAGATGAGCAGTTGCCTTCCAAGAAACAACGTCTCAGTTCCTCAGTTCGGAAACAGTTCGAAACGGTGGGTTTGCGAGAGGGACGCAAGCCGACTGACTGGAACAAATCAGGTTGGTTGCATTTTGTTTGCTTCCTGGTGTCAGCACAGTGCTTTGCATTCTCCCCAACTGTGAAAGTACTGTGCTAGTTTTTTATCCGCTTTGTTGAATAGCGCAATTGTGGGCTCGTATTCGGATCGCTGTGTGGCGAATAACCCGCTTTCGCTCTGAAGTTTGCTTGCGTCTAAAGTTGACCACAAAGGGGTTTAACTGTTGATCTGGTGGACGATACGCTATGAAGTCGACTCATCTACTCTGATTTTCTTTTTTCCTGTTCAACATAGCAATTATAGTTTTTCAACCTTTATTCTTCGAAACAGCTGTTTATTTATTGTCTGATAATTTTGACTTCGCGCGCACAAAACTCATAAAACATGCTACATGTGGTACTGTGAAGACCTTCAAATGCACCAATCGGCCTTTTTCAAGGGATGTGACTTCCTTTCCTTATTCGTCGCTGAATTGAATTTTTCGCATATTTATTAGAAGCGTTGCCCTGGAAATTTAGTTATTGCAACAAATACTAAATTTGATCGACTGGAATAAAACTATCTTCACGAGTAAAGAACACAACGCAGCTATCAAAAGATACGGCCCACACCTTATTTTCATAAGTCAGAATTAAGAAGGACGCGATTTTAATGTGGAAAACTTGAAGATTGTGCCGCATTGAAGTACAAGATAAGAGGGTTAATTTTTAGAATCATAGTTCTCTGCAAAGGATTCAACCAACCGGTATATCGAAATCTACCCTATCTCCACGCTGCTACGATCGAACGACCACCCCACCCCATTAACAACTCTCTCCTTGTAGGCCCAGCACTTAGGACTGATGACTCCGTTCGTCATGCATCGGTTTTGCGTGCAGCGTCTGCTCGTCACACGGTGCCGACATCTTCAGGAATCTCCAGATCAGTCCTCAAGCCTCGACACCCACTCTATCTGGCCGCGTTCAATGTTCGCACTCTGAAGCAAGCAGGACAACAAGCTGCTCTTGCACTCACACTGGACTCGCTTGGCATTGATGTGTGCTGTGTCTCAGAAACGAGAATTCAAGATGCAAGCACAGTGATTCAGTTAACCGCCCCGTCAGTCTCCACTCGCTTCCGGCTACGCACCTCTGGTGATCCAGAGGCTGCTGCGGTGGGATGTGCAGGGGTTGGTATTGTGCTAAGTCACCGGGCGGAAGTATCCTTACTTGACTGGATACCTGTTGATAATCGCCTCTGTGCGATTCGTCTGGCAACGTCTGTGAAGGAGTCTCACAAGCAGTAAGTTGATAGATGTCTGTTTATCGTGTCTGCCTATGCCCCAACTGATTGTAGCTCTGACACCGTCAAAGACAGGTTTTACGACGCCCTGAATGCTCTGATGCGGCGAGCTAAAAGCTCAGACATCGTGGTGGTTGCCAGAGATATGAATGCGCAAGTGGGCAGGCTCAGTGCATCCGAGACTCAATTGGGAGGTCGACATGGACTGGACTCGGTACACAGACCGGCCACATACTCAAATCGACCACATTGCCATCAAGTACCGATGTCGCGGGTCAATAACTGACTGCCGGTCGTTTTGGAACACATTTGTGGACTCTGACCACGCGCTCGTCCGGAGTCACTGCACCCTACGTTTCCCGGAGCCGCGTAAAATGCAGACGAATCGCTTAACAACTGAAAGACTGGCAGATCCGGGTGTTAGACGAACTTAGCAGAATCATCTTCTAGAGTCTCTTCCAAGCGCTCCACCATCAGATGTGAATTCATACTGGGACGAGATTGCCACCTCCTTACATAGTGCTTGGAATTTCGCCTGTAAAACGACCCAACCAGGCGAACCCAAGCACTGGATATCAGACTGAACGGTGGCACTACTTAAATCTCGGAGAAATATCCCAGCCGGTCCCGAACATAACCCGGTGCGAAGAGTTATTAGACGTCAAGTGAAAGTGAGCTAGCGATATGACCGTGAAGTGTGGTGGACACAGAAAGCCAAAGAAATGGAAGAGGCCCAGAAAGCCGGTAATGCCCGGAGACTGTTTCAGTTGATCCGTGCGACCGGTCCCCGGAAACCACCTGTGAGTGAAACCATCAAGCACCAGAATGGAGCGATCATCTCGAATAAGGAAGAACACCTCAACCGGTGGGCTGAATACTTTGAAAACAAATGTCTTGGCCACCAGCCGCCACTCATCTAGAGCCCACTGGTTAGGTAGAACCTTGGACGGTGAACGTGAAACCACCTACGGCCTCGGAAGTTTACGACTGCATATGTTCTCGATGAAATAATGAGACAAACGCTGCAGGGTCTCCAAAATCCTGGTGTTCAAATAGCCTGTGAAGAAAACCTTGTCGATCTGGAATATGCAGACTACATCGTTCTCATGTTCGAAGAGCCGGAGAAGGCGCAAGTATTCTTGGATGAACTGACCAAAGTCCTTTGATATGCACTTTGCACCTACAAAGTGTAAGGTCATGTTTGTGGACGTGCAGTCACACACTCACAATCCAGGGAGAGGTAGTGGAAGTTGTGGAGCGTTTTGAGTATCTTGGAAGTTGTATTAGTTCTGACTGTAGTGTGACAGGTGAGGTGAATGCACGAATCTGCAAGGCTCGGGCCGCGTTTGCTAACTTGAGACACCTATGGCGTCAGAATGGTTTATCCCTGAATCTGAAGGGACGTGTGTATCAAGCTACAGTACGGGCTGTTCTGTTGTATGGCTGTGAGACTTGGCCTATTCGAGCAGCGGACCTGAGACGTCTTCAGGTGTCCGAGAATCGTTGTCTCAGAACCAGATCTCATGTGGAATGGTGCTGTCAGTCATGAGGGATAGGCTATTGGTTTTTGCGAAATATGGCAACTTCTCTGGAACGTCAATTATTATTCTAGAATTGCTGGTCCGTGGAACTGAAACCTCAACATCCCCCTGTTAAATGAAAAAACGGCCTAACGGATTCCTCAATCCCATGCGGATGTTTGTTTTATTCGTTTTCACCTTACTACTTTCAATGAGTCTCAGTAGCCCGATTTTGATGGACTCTGGGAATCACTTCAGCTGAGACTGAGGTGCAGACAAGTGAAAACTCGCGCCAATATATTAAATTCCTCTCGTGGAAATTGAAGAATTCCGAATTTCCGGCTTCGACACTTTTGGAAAAAGTTGATTTGCTCGATGTATGGCACTTCCTGTTTTCGTGTTCATTACCCATGCTCCTACCAATCGACATCGCAAACTTTTGCACTCCCTATATTTATGAAGTCCAAAATGGCTTATAGATAGGAAAATTCTATCATATCAAGACGAAAAAGCCATACCATACACCGGTATTGGAGAGCGAGTCGTTTTAGGGATGGTAATCAGATAGAATTCTCTTGTTATGTTCGCGAAACCAAAGTACGATTGGTCCCTTGTGTAGAGATCGACTGCAGGATGCCCACGCTGTATCCACCGTCTGAATGCGTTGGCCAGTCGATAGAACCCTGCCAAACACAGTTGTCCCGCCTTCTTGCTGGGTTAGTCTTATGCTGAGGACCACTGCTTTCTGGTGCGGCTTTTGAGTCAAACGCTTTTGTGGAGAACTCTATATGTCTTCCTTGCTCTTTGGCCATATATCAGCTTACGTACAGATTATATGAAGATCGTCGTAGATTTCATAGACTGAGGGTGACGGACAGCACAGTTCCGTCAGGCGGAAACACTGTGCTTTCCTCTTAGAAATTTGTTTGGCCTGTCAAGACGAAGTTTTTTGTTCCTATTCGTTCATGGGAGCAGTTTTCCACATTTCTAACCTTAATGCGACTTCGAGCGTTGCATGGTGACATTAGTCTTGTCACTCTATTCGCTGCGTACGACAGGATAATGAAGACTCAGACTGTGGAAGCCTCCCGTCTGTGTTGTTGTTTTTCCCACCCTTGACCGGAGGGTCAATGGTTCGAACCCAACCTCAGCATCTCGACTGTTTAGGCTTGGTCAACTTGATAGTATCCCAGCCCTCGTTCATCCTCCATGTGGCATGGCAGCCAGGCACCTAAAAGATGTTACATCTGGACGATTGGATTGTATGGTGAATCTTCACTGTTGTGATCTCTGATTGTGTCAATTCTTTCAATTTGTTCTGCTTCTGTCTCTACCTTTACAACCGCTTTTATTGTTGCCTTATTAAATGGTTCGAAACCTCAGCATCTCGACTGTTTAGGCTTGGTCAACTTGATAGTATCCCAGCCCTCGTTCATCCTCCATGTGGCATGGCAGCCAGGCACCTAAAAGATGTTACATCTGGACGATTGGATTGTATGGTGAATCTTCACTGTTGTGATCTCTGATTGTGTCAATTCTTTCAATTTGTTCTGCTTCTGTCTCTACCTTTACAACCGCTTTTATTGTTGCCTTATTAAGATGACGGAACTATGGTCGCTCAACCAGTTCTCCGACTTCGTGATATCAGTCATCTTCAGAATACATCGCTGGATTTCAGCCCTCACGGCTCAGCATTCACGTCAACTCAGTTACCGTCTGTTTCCATTTCTAATGAAGTGCAGCAGGAGGAAGTCAAACAAAACCCGGTGTCCATTCCAAAAGGATTACCTCAGAAGACTACTCCTATCGCTACAACAGTTGCTTCCGTCATGTCTTCTTCGGTGGCGGTCGCATCCGCAGCACCAGTTTCGTCCTGCAACCCAGCCGTTAAGGTGCCTGTTAACAGCCACCCTATCAATTCAGCTTCAGGTTAGTCCCATTTGTCACTCTTCTTAATGCTCACAAACCCCTCTGTGTGTGGTAGATATTCAGTGCTCAGACAGAACTCCGCTGTATCAGTTACATATGACCTGGACCAAACACGCTGTCATAAAGTGCGTCTTGGTCAGCGGTGACTTGATCACATTTTCGTTGTTATAAGGAACTAGACTTTACCATAGTATTATGGTTTGTGCTAATCCATTTCCGAGTACAGCCCTCATTCCCTCAACCAAACTACTGTCATACCACGTTGGCCATCGCATGGTATTGTTTTTAATGTTTGCACTCTGAAGTAAGCCGGACGGTAGCGAAGCGTCAATGTTGAAAACTGATGTGCTGTCGATTATGGTGAGGATGATGTAGAGGACTATAATCTCTATTATCCTGAATCACGCTATTTGTAAGGTAGGACTGTGTGTGATCTTGATATCCAGACGACCACATGACAATTTTTTGCTGTCTGTAACCCAAAAACAATTATTGGTGTCACCTGTAAACAGTGTCTTGTGTCTACAGTTTGATGGACGTATGAGCTGGCCAACTTACTTGGCTTACTGGCTAGGGTGAGTTTGGTAAACAGTTGAGTGCCCAATTTTTTTGCAGAAACAGTTTCTCGCGATTCCTTATTGGGCGTAGTGAAACTCCTCCACTCCATTGTAATCATTGATTTTTGTCGGTTCTGCTATATTATCTTCGAGCTAGCTCAGTAGTTAGGGCCCGAGCTCGATCACCAGAAGATCTGAGGTTCGAACCCGAAATATCGACTGATTCTGTCTAGATTTTGGCAACTTGTCAATAGCTCAGCCCTCGTGCCCTTTTCAGGTGGCATGGCAGCTGGGCGCTGAAAGGGTTTTACAGCTAAACGACGATGATGGTGATGATGAAGATGGTATTCCTCTCTCAAGACGCATTTTGGATGAGTTCTCTCCTTTCTGACCGCTACACTTTGGAGAGAACCTTGTCTTCATCTCGTGGACCGTACCGTTCATTAACTTAAATTTAACCAATGAATGCCAAGGTCTTGCTAATGTGCATTTTGGATCACGGACGAGTGGCGCTTGACTATACTCTTCACGTCGCCAGCTCCACTTTAGCCACCGATTTCGAGCAACACCGTTTCGTTTCTCTCTGAATACTGGTGCGTAACTTTAACCGTCAGTTGTTGGGGTCATTATCGCTGTCATACTCTTATCGGGCTGACTGGGGATCTTCACTTACCAAGTCATCGTCAAATGCAATGGATAGGGTCTCAGAAACACGAGCAAAGACGGATGTCGATTGGGATATGCCCTAACAATGTAGGTGGATAGGGGAAGTCCAAATTGCTGGTGCTTGCGATTATTAAGCATTCCATCGTATAGAAACTTCGTCCATTTGGAGGGCAATTTCATCTCGGCAGATGCATTGCCCGCTCGGACAAATAAAGGCGTACCGAATACGACTACTACTCTTTGGGGTTCATTTTTGAAGAACATGGTCAGAAACATGAAAGTGTGAGCGACAGATATGGAAGAATGTACAGGAGAACAAAAAACGGGGAGACTTCCCATACGAAGGTGTGCAATCACTGGTTTTTCGAAAGTGTATAAACGCCGACTAAAAGGAGCGATGCATGCTGCTGCAGTTATCAACTACTCATCTACCCACCATTTCATTGCGAGCACTGCAACAAGCTAACTGCTGCTAGATTACAAAGGTACGGGTGATCAGTTAGTTGAAGTTCTTTGAGGTCCTCATTTTAGAGAAGCCAGTTTTTCCCGCCGTAAAGTTGGACTTCTTCCGTAGTTGCCCACTGGACCGTTTAATTTTGTTTCGGACGCCACAAGTGCTACAAGTTGAGGAGTTCTTCTCGTGCTTTGATACACGTATATTGATTCCCCCCCATCCTATTAAAACCCCAGTTAATGCAGCTGTCACGATACGTAAGCCTATAAACTTACCCCTGCTCTTCGCCTTCATATGTTTCCAGAAGACACAAAGTATTGAAGATCCTAGAGCAAAATTCTGAACGTAACAATGCAAGCTGGACCGAGAAACCAATTCCAACGTATTACACTGGATTATGAGGATTGACGATCGTCACTTAGCAAGACAACATCATCCATCTAGTCCAGCTCTCCAAATATTCTTCCATGTGCTATTTCGATCTCTAGATTTATATAACGCCATTGAAATATGCTGTCAGAAAACTATCTGGAAGTCGTCAGCTAACTATAACACAAGCAAAAGGCTGAAATAGAGAGCATGAGTTACATTGGCAATGTTCACGGGCATTCTTTGTGGAGGGATCACTCTGTTAAGGGTCCCGTCTATCTTTAGGGAAAACAGCGGATATTGGTCAGCATTATGTTTTCTGCTGCGTACCCGGGTTAGGCATCACAATGCCAGATGTAAGGGTTGGAACAGTCGCCTGTACTAATTTCGCTAACCTTGGCCTCTTCCCTCTGAAACGCACTATTGTTTAAGGGGTTTACTTAGGGTAGGAAACAGGCACTCACCGCCGTCTTTTTGTGGGCAAGATATTAAGTGGCTCCACCTGCGTTTCTATGCGGATAGACATATCTTGAAAAAAGCTGTGTACCGAATGAATTGAGCTCAAACTGGTTGTTCGTTAATATGCAGTTTCGCTTATTGGCAACCGATTTGGTTGGCCAGCTTGAGTTGCTGTTACGTGATTCACACAGTAGATTTACCAACCACGTGTAGCTGATAGACTTTTTGCTTGCTAGGTGTTGTTTGTTTCTTCATTGATTCGCATTCCGGCTGTGTAGACTGATCAGTAAGTGTACATCAATTTGGTATCTTGCCAACCAGGTAATCTAACGGTTGGTTGGTTGGTTGATACCCCCAGTGCAGACTTTTTCGGGTGACTTTCTTCGGTGCAGAGGTCTTCTACATGCGCAATCATTCACGCACTTTTCCCATGTCCCCGCAAACTGTGGTCTTTTAGGGACTATCATGCCCTTCCCATGACCCTAATTTTTCGCCTCTAACGTGCTTAATTCTGATTACCTTCCCCGTCACGATAGTCTCCAGCAAAGCGTTTTCCATCAAGATCGCGTTTGCAGATATTTCTGTGTTGGTCCCCGTTGACGATAGGTGAGTCTCTCGATGTTCGTGCTGTGATATTTTTCAGTGTTTTTCATATTGTCTTCGTGAGAACTGATGCACGTCTCTGAGCTCTTGTGCAGGAGATAAAAAACCCAACCCTAGAATATGGATGACAGATCTACCGACATTCGATTCTTTAGGGTGATATATTTGGATGAACTGGCCAAAGTCATCCCGTCCTTTGGCGTCTACTTTGCACTCACAACTTCGGACATGCGGTCACTGAACACACCGGTTAAAATTCAGGGAGAGGCACTCGAGGTTTTGGAATATGTTGCGTATCCTGGAAGTTGTATTTGTTCTGAGTGTAGTGTGACGACGTGGTCAGTGCAGCAGTCTGTAAGGTTCAGGTCTCATTCGCTAATTCGAGACACCTATGGCGTCAAAGCGGGATATCTCTGAGTCTTAGGGGACCTATGTATCAGACTACAGTAGGAGCTGTTTTTTGTATGAATGTGGTACTTCTTCTCTTCAAGCAGCGGAACTGAGACGTCTCCAGGACTTCAACAAACGTTGTCTGAGAGTGATAGCTCGTGTAGGCTATTGATGGAAAGTCCGCACGGAGAATGTTAGGAAACGAGTGTTCGGCTGGTCACCGGAAACTTCAATCGAGAGCTGAGGCCAGCACCAAAGCATGTGGTGGTTAGGCCATTGTAGAACCATCATTTGTTAGAGAGCATATTTTCCTATGCTCAGTTCAGAGTGGAGAAACCAGAGAGATGGTCAACCCTTAATCTGGCAGAGGGGGTTGAAAGAGATTACGAAGTCTGGGCACTGTCAGTATAACTGGCCTCCCAGGATGAGGATCACACGATCCCTACTGCACCTGATTGGAGACGCTGCAAGATATGGCCAGTAATCGATGTCAATGGCGTTCTTGTTGTCAGTTTTTATCCAGACTGCCAGGCACCTCAAATGATTTGATTAAGCTACCACTTAGTTCTTTCTCCATCAATTTTTATTCTTTTCTTCACGATAAGGATTGCAAATAAACCATGAATGTACAGCAGCGAAGCATCAGGTTGAGCACTGGTGTTATGCCGTCGATGATGAGTGTACTCTGTCGCCGATTGGAAGTGGAACTTCAGCAACGTTGTTTGGGCTTTTCTCGGCTAGGCTAGCGCATCAGTAACGTGAGCCGTACTGGTTTGGATGTTTCCTCCACAGTTCAGATCAAACGTTGTCGGAGAAAGTCTTCGACTTAATAACCTGCGACGGTTAGTGTCGTTGCCATGAAAGTCAGCTGAAGATGCAACTCATTAGGTTTAATCAGAGGTCGATAATTTTTGTCTTCACTCCGTTTGCGATGGCTGTCGCTTGAAGTAGGTCTGGAGAACAGTGGACGCGAAGCTCACCTTAGGTCGTCAAATTTGGGAAGGACATTCGTTCGGCCAACTGGTTCTGTCCAGGCGCCAGCCGCAGCCATTTGGAGCACAGTCAGGCTCTGAAATATTTTTGTTATGAATTAAGATAAACACCGTTGGTTAGACGATTATTGTCTTGTTGGCTCTTGTAGGGAAGTTGTAGTTGTTTTCTTTGTTTGATATTCGCATGGCTGCAAGCCTGTATTTGGCCATTTTTGTGTCACCTGCTACTTTTCGCTACCCGTCAGTTCCCGAAGTGTTGCCTGGCTCGCCAACGAAGCTTATCGCCGCCGGCAAATTCTCAAGTCATCTCGATCAGGTGTTGTCGATTCCATTCGGGATAACTCCAATCGCGTCCGACTGAGCACTCGTGATGGCGCCCTCCTCCTAAGCACCGATCGGTTACACTCGGTTTTACCGGAATTCGGACGGACTGGCTGTGTTTTCGAACTGCTGGCAGAGATAACGGACGAGACCTGCTCGGATGCACCACTTCTAACACAAGCTAGACAAAATCCCTCCCCTTTTAATGTTGCGCACATTGTAGAGCAGAAACGGGACACAGGTAAGCAACCTGCTTGGCTAGGAATTTTTTTATTTTCAATGCATTTTTGTTGAATCACCTCAGGGTTCAAGTATACGCCTGAATTCATTAGTCTCGTCTACATCCATTCTATAGAAAGCGTGTTTAGCGAACGGGACGCCCCCTTGTCAGCTTATCCCGCTTTCTCCAGGATAGATACGATGCGGCGGATTTCTTGTGGGAATTGCAAGTTATGCTCTTACTGGTTATTTTATGCGCGACGGGAATTTCCCGTACAATCCAAATAGGCCCCCAGTTGGGGATTTGCCGTGGACTGTTAGTGTTGAGCGTTTGGGAGTTGAGTTGACTATAGTCCCAAGTTCTCTTTGGTAGTTCTAAGCTACCGCTGGGATTCAGGTTCTGTTTTCTTGTACTGCGCCTCTGGTAATTTAGCAATATTGCAGCTTCCATTCTTTTCACTGACTGCCTGGTGACAAAACGGTACCGCAGCTGGACCACCACGCTAAAATTCTATCACTCGTGTTTCTGAAGGAAGGCGCTATTCCCAACCAGTGAGAAGTAACATCCCTCGACTATCAACCGTTGTACTGCACTAGTCAATCAAAATAACCGCACAGGCAAATCGATCGCGCAGCTCTCTGTTCGTCGTTGGTTGTTTTTATTGTTCTGCTTTTTTGTTGAACTTGGTGCTGGCAGAATCTCGGTATACTTCATGCGTCCACTCTTCTAACTAGGTCCACCTTTAGAGGGCATGGAACGAGTAGACCTGATCGTCCGGTCGCGCTTTTTCCGTTCGCTTGTGGAGCGGGTACAAGCTACGCGCATGGTTGATCTCAGATATTTATCCCTGGGTGATAATGACTGTCATCTGATCCTGGACCAATTATTTTCGCACGGTGCGCGTTCAGTTACTGAGGTCCGGTTACAAGGTAATTGCTGTGTATTTTATTGTCTCACGCTCGACTATGTCTGGTACATGCACTCACTGAGTAAGCGATTTTCGTGTGAAAATTTGTGAAGGAAAGTTATCTGACAACGGCTTTGTGCATCATGACACCGTGGATGGTTGCGTAGCCGTATGCGGTCGGCGACTTAGTCGAAATAGTTTGCAATAATTTGCTACTTTTGTCAATAGCCCTAGTGATATCCAGAGGCGAGTCAGCACCAGAAATAACATACCACGTTGATTAGAAAGATGTGTTTGTAACTGTTACACCACTCATTTTCCAGGATGCAAAGGCGGTTGCTTTAGCAAACTAGGATGCATGCCTTTGATTACTCGTAGCGCAATTCTGAACGCTTCGTAGGTGCTCACCAGTTGACGGTTTTCTAACAAGTGGTGTGTGATGAAAAAGGCTGATCTCAATCGTATTTCTGAACTGCTACCCGTAACAAGGGTAGACATTCCTAAACTGGCGAACAGTTTTCCTCTAAATTTGCGCTGCTATGTTTTCCGCTACGGTCTGAGTCGACGTTATCTTCCTGTTATAACGAGAAAGTTGGCCAAACACCCTGTTAAGGGTTGTCATAGACGATAGTTTCTATTGATCCTCGCTTGCACTTGTATAATTTGAAAATGAATGTATTTCATCCATTATGTATAAGTGGATGTTCAAGTACAACATAAGGTGGTTGATGGATAACGCCTACTTATGGAATCCCAACAAGGGCGGAACTGGTCCGTCAAAGGGTTTTCAGCAACCCTATGGATTTCGATGGTATCTCGGATATCGTACCAACTGAAACGTGAGGCGAACTTTGCGTAACATATTTATTTAGAGAATAGCACTAAAGAACGATTCAGTCTAGTCTCTCCAACACGAACATGATTTGTCATTGGGTGTATTTCGTTCACTGTGTTCATCTGTAAAACATGCCAAAACTACAAATACTCTTGACCCTAATGTGGTTGCGGTGTCTAAGTGATAAGCTTTTGGAGATGGAAGTCAGTAAGGGAAGATAATGGTAGCGGTTTCTAGTCTCATATTAAAATCTCTTTCAGAGTGCTTTTCAGCTACCAGGTGGCCCTTGCGTGTTTGCGTCTTAAGGTGGCTCATCTCGTTTCTAATTGGCGAATTTAGGCCCCCCGAATCTAGGCTCCCGGTTTCCCAGCCGTTCTGAAAAACTCTATTTTTTCTTTCAGGAAACTCTTTAAAATTGGACGTACTGAATGTGTCGCCCCCGGACGCCATCCATCATGCTCCCTTAATCCTACCCCTCGTTCGGTTGGCTTCTCATTTGACTAGCCTGGACTTGGACTCTAATGCGATCAGCCTGAATAACTTTGTGCACTTTTTACAGGAACTCAAACAGGCTTGCTGCACGGACCTGAAGTGAGTTGGGCTCTCTTTTGGCGCTGTCCCGATACTGCAGGTTGGTGTTTTTTCAGACACGCTCCCCTTCAACCTGTGGCGTCATTTTAGCGCAAAACTGTCGTGTAGCGAGCAGGAAGGAAGTGGCCTCCAAAGCCCAGACAATAATAATTGGGGTGTTTCTCCTCTGTCTCATCCCTTCGTTAACCAGATTTGATTCTGCGACGTCGAGTTGAGTGATGGACAACATTGCTTATGTACTGGTTAATCTTGCTGACGCTGTGGTGAAACAACTCACCGTCGTAGAGAGTATGTTTAAATAGTTGAACTGTTTTTTCATTGTTTTTGTTGTATGGTTGTGAGACGTCTCCTGGGCAAGCAGCAGAAAGGAGGCGACCTCAAGTCTTAGAGCTTTTGACTGGTATCAGTGAGTCTACCTTGTTCACAACCGGAAAAGATGTGTTCGTTTGTGCAGAAGGGAATTCCATTGGACGGTGTGTTCAGCAAAGGATGCCGTCGTGTTGCACATGCAGTTGTCTGCCAGAAAAAACGCTGTTTTCTGTGTTCAATTTATCGTGATGCAAACAGAGAAATGGTCAATTTTTCTTCTGGCAGAAGGCACGAGGTTTATCAAGACAAGTGTGGGTACTGTCTGCCTAAATTGCCTTCTAAGATCCGGTTGTTTGGTTTCCCTTGTGCTTGATTGGAGATGCGGTGAGATATAGCTGCTTATCTATATAAGTTCCTTCTCAGATTTTTGGAGCAATACCTGGAGGTGTAAGCCCCCCAGACTACCTGCAGTAAGCCAACCAGTTCCTCTATTCACTTTTTCACAATAAGGCTTTCAAATAAATTATACAACAGTGAGGCTGTCGAGGACGACGATGGAATGTGATTTAACTTGCCGAAAGTCTGTCATATCGGTTTGCGATCACAGTCACTTTACGCCGTCAGTAACTAGAACCTCTGTTCCCATCTGATCAAGATGCATTCCCCTTGTACACTGCGGCATTCAAGACCAGGACTCCAATAAAACTGTCATCTAGCTTGTGTGGGGTCGGAGCTCATTTTAGCGCAATATAGGTTTAATGTTTATCACTGGACCGTGCTGCTCAAAGCAGACTCAGTTTGCCCCCACAGCCACCACTAGCTCCACTCGTCACATGCTTACCCACCCGTGGTCTGGGTAGAGATGGGGATAAAAGGTGACAGGTTTGCCTATCAATAGTTGGACACGCCCTTCTCTGCTCCACGCTAGGCGTTCCTTCCGTTTGGACCTTTCCATCTGGTCGTTAAGTCCACTACTTATTGTTTTGGTTACTATCTCATCTGTCGATACGGTTAGCTAAATTTCTTCAGGATAAGTGTATTCTTATTGGAATACTGTTCTTCACATGGTCAAACTTCTTATGTTTTGAGTTTCGCTTTACTCAGCCCATTGCCCCGGGATAACAGTGGGTGAAAGCCATTACATGTTCCTCTGAGTCGTACGGTATATGTACGGGTGGTTTTTCGGCTATCAGATTGTTCAGGTTATTTCGATATACGAGGACTGAGACATTGCCAGGTCACCCATTCTCATACTTGACCAGTCTGTGAATTGAATCCTTTCCTCATGAGCTCGCGGCTTGCAATCACTACCAGTGTGAACAAAAGCGTCAGTGTTAAATGCCAACCAAAACTTCACTGTATCCGCTGTGAAAATACGGCTTTATCATGGTGTGACGGTTTGTGTAACCCAGAAACCCGTTAAGCTGTACCGGAGGATGCCAACACAGCATCCGTGGGGTTTCTCCCACCAGTTTGACAGCCACTGTCTCCTAGCTCTAAATTTTGAGGGTTAGTGCATTTACGGTAACTTACTCCACTAATCTCAGACCACTCTGCTAGTTCCTGCTAGTCCCTACCTTGCTGCCAGGCTTTTAAATCAAGATCTTTGGTCGAGTATCCGAATCGTACCCCGTTTGAGTTTGGACATCCTCTTAGTATCTTAGTCTACACATATCAGTGGAATCGTCATGGCTATTTAGCATTTAAGCACCAGTATTTACTGTCAGTGTGTTGCTTTCGGTGAAGATGACGCTGATTCATTGTGGATGTGGGTGTGTATATTTCAGAAGACAACTTCCGACCTTACGTTTGTGTCCATTGAATCCAACGATCGTGATGCCGTTAGAACGCCTCTAGAACGACCTTTTGTTCGTTGTTTTCGCGGCTTCTACCTTTTGCACTTCGCTTGCATTCGTCTAAGCAGAACACCAAGGCTAGTATCTGATAAAAGACAAGTGCTTGGGACGCAGCGTTTGATGTACGTGACGACGGACTAGTCAACTAGTCTTCGAAAAGAAAACCGTAGTATCTGTAGTATTATTCTGCAGTCGAGGCGTTTCGTCAGGATTTTGAAACTGTCACGACTGACAACTTGTTTCTTGTTTATCACATGACTAGAACGTTATTTTGAGATATGACATGTGCCTCTCAGGCTATGCCTTCTCGCACTATCGTTAACCACGACTGAACAAGTTCAGGACACTGGAACAAAGTATATCTAGGCTGGCAGACAAAGATTCAGCAGTGTCATAGTTGAGTGTTCGGTTACAGAGAACCTATACTTTCATGGCTATGCCTCTCGCACTATCGTTAACCACGACTGAACAAGTTCAGGACACTGGAACAAAGTATATCTAGGCTGGCAGACAAAGATTCAGGCGTGTCATAGTTGAGTGTTCGGTTACAGAGAACCTATACTTTCATGTTTGATTTCAAGACTATGAACTAGAGGAAAGACGAATATTGTTGCCCAGCAAAGTGGGTTTTCGTTGGTGTCTCTTCACCAATATATATATATATATATATATATATATATATA